ATAAAGCTGACGTATGCACCACTTTGCTTTGATGTATATGACTGTCCATAAATATCTGAGCATGTGTTTGTAATTACCACGTACCAGAATAAGTGAAAGACACGCAACCAGATTACAAGCATCAAATAAGCTCTGTTTAAAAAAAAAAAAAATTACCAACTCTGAGCAAAGAACCCGCTGGCTCTGGTGGTATGGAACATTTTGAACCGTTTCTATCCCTGAAACTATTCATCACTTTCTCTCACTTCAAGCACAGGCATAATAGTTCTCTCTACTCTAACAAGCGAGTTCTGTCTTCTTCTATCTCGATCACGAAACATCATGAAGTAGAAAAATCTACAGACTGCATTCAGTATCAGCCATAAGCAGCGCATTCGGCGATTGCTCATACCATTTGGAAACCAGTGCTCACAGGACGACTGGCCTGACACCTCATCCATCAGCAGGGTGCCCACAGCAGAGTGGACAGTCTTCCTTGCACCATCTCCAGAGTGGAGGCCCAGCTGGGGAACAGCCTTCTCTTCCAATAGCAATTAGATCTTTAAGATCAGGCCTTAGCAATTTGACCTAAAGCCATCCTTCCTTGCAACAAAGTCTTCAGAAGAAGAGACGGGGAACAAGGCAAATGAGAAATGCAAGTCTCTGTGGCCTGGTTAAAAACTTTGTTGTGTCAAATAAACTTTGGCCACCGGAGGAAAGGACCCTATGGTTGCTCTGGCTTTAGAAAGCTCTGTCCCGGGCTTCTCAATCTTCTTTTCACCTCTCCCACTCTCCCTCTCTCTCTCCTCTCTTGTTTCAAAGGGGCCTCTGGTCAGCGCTGATTAATAAGTGTTTTTTGTTGTGAAGTGTTGAATAATAGGGGATGGCCGGTGACCCAGTAAAGACTGAACCTTGCGCTGGTTTATTGTGGCAAGCTGAGAAAGGGGCTTTAGGCCCAAGACCGCAAGCACTGACCCGCACACATCCCGCGGATCGCCTATTCATTCTCACAGCCCTGCAGTCGCCCAGGCTCCCATTGTTTGCGAAGTAACAATGGAGATTTCGCAAGGAACGCAAAGCTCCTTTCAAATCCTCTCTGATGTTTTGCATTTAGGGAAACAACGACCTTCACTTTTTCTCTCGACATTTTCTATCACCGCAGTTTAAGTGGATGGGTTTTCAGGGATAACTTGGGTTGAGTTTGGCGCTTGTTTGCGGAACACCAGCGTCTAGCGGAGACTAGACCGGTGGAAAAGAAGAGCCCCAGAGAATTCCTTTTTTTTCCCCCTTCTTGTTCTTAATGCATTTAGAGAACGGAAGCTGCCTCTGGGGAGAAGGGGGAGGGGAAGGGAGAAGAAAGCGTTTTCTTGGCACGGTTGCCGGGCGGGGGCTCGGCGGCCGAGGCCGAGGCCAGGCGCCGGCCCCTCATCGCGGACGGTGCAGTGGCGGGTCCCACTCGGCAGCCGAAGGCACTGCCGAGTTTCCACCCGTTTTCCTCGGCCGGCCTTTCCAGCTCGGTCTCCAGCTCTGGGGCCAGCTCCACCGCTCCCCTAGTCCCTCAGGCCCCTCCACCCCCGGCGGGGTTCGCTCCGGGGCGGCCGCAGCCTGGAGGCAATGGAGTGGCGGGGGAGGAGGGGACGGCGACAGAGAGCTGACGCCCGGAGGCCAGGGCGGCTCCGCCTGAGATTTCCTTGTGCTGAGCTCTCTCGCACCCCGCCCAAGCAAGCCGTTGGGACAGGAGACCCAGCTGGGGGCAGCGGGGCCAGGCGAGGTTACGGTGGAGACTGGGCCATGCCTGCTGCGGCCTCAGCCTCTCCAGACGCCTGGCGTCCGCTGCCCCCGGCCGGGCAGTAGGCAGCCACCTCGACCCGGGACTAGCCGAGGGGACCCGGGGTCCGCGAGGACGTGGCAGCCTGCAGCACCGTGTCCTCGGCTTCTTCCAAACGCTCCCCGCCTTCCCGCACGTGCAAGCGAGGCGGGTCAGCTGGGCAGGCCGGACACGGAGGCCGCAGGGAATCGGGGTGCTAGCAGCGATCTGAGGCCCACACTGGGGACCCCCGTCGTCTGGGAGCTCGGCCGCCCTGGGTAGGCCTAGCACGCAGGGCAGAGGCCAGGCCATGACTCCCGAGACGGGTGTCAGAGGGGACTGTGTGAGGCGCCCCCCTCCCAGGCCGGGCCCATGCGCTCGCCCTCTCTGTGGCCGCTCCTACTTCGAGAACCCCAGCGCTTACACCTTTTCTCTGAGCTGGAAGCTAAAGCCTGGGCGTTGCGCGACCCCCGCGGCCTGGTGCGCGCACTGATACTGGGTCGCTGCCAGCGGCTCAGTGCACCCCAAGGGTGCCTCGCCCCGGCTGGGAGAGGAGAGAGGAGGAGGAGGAAGAAGGTTAGAAAATAGCAAAGGAGAAGAACGGCTGCGAACCTAGGGCAGCACAGTGGGAGGAGGGCTCATTGTCCGGTCCCTTCAGTCCAATTGATATGCTAATCTCTTTTCTGATGCGAGACAAAGAACACCTTTGCACTTTTAAAAGACTTTTGTGCCCTGGCTACAGAAGTTTATTATCCACTAATTAGCAACAACTTCTGGCAATGAGTTGGGTTACGTTTTCATAAACTCGCTCTGGCTATGAGGTGTGCAGGGCAGTACGAGGTTCGCGTGCAGAGAAACCCCTAATCCGGGACTAGAATGCGATCACTAGCCCAGCTTGCAGGGCTGAACTAGGTGGGAGACCCGGATCGAGAGTTAAGGGTGTGTAAAAAATAAAGATTCTGTTGGAAGAATGATTTTGCTGGATCCGACTGTTTTCTATCCCCTGAGCTTTCCGGAGGCGATGGCTGTAGTTAGCCCGTCCATCTTACTTGGGTGGATAGGAAGTGAAAACATTGAGCGAATGTTCCAGCGCTAGCCTTTGATTCTTGAGTTTTTCTTGGAGGGCTTAGCTTAAGACAGCGAAGTATTCAGGAGAGGCCCATATCTAGGAAACGCAAGGATAGCTTGCGTACCCTCTTGAGGTCTCCGCCAAACCCTGAAAGTTGAGGCGAAGCTAGTATTGCGGGAGCCAGAGACGGAGAGAGAATGCTGGGTAAAGTGCCCACCCTGGGTGGTCTGAAGTCGCCACCCCACCAAGCCAACCCTCCTGGCTAACCAGACCTCAGCACAGCGTCTTCCCCGCAGCGGGATGCACTGCACAGTGCCCCTCCACAGGTTACGCAGGTCCTTGAGGATCTTTAACAATCTCACAGCCCAGGTCAATAAACTGAAAACGGATAGAATGAACATCATCAGTGAAAAGATATGGGGCAGGAGGGGGATGAACCTGGTTCCTCCCCAAAACAATGTCCTTTGCTCCAATAAAAACATCGACTTTGAGGCCTGCGTTTCGTCCAGGCTCAGCCTCAGAAACGGTATTTTGTTTTAAACAACTCAAGCCCCCAAGCAAAGCACTTGTAACTAGGTTATACAAACACACAAGAGTGTATCCTTTGTTTAGATTTTTTTTCTCTCATATTTTGTTTTTTACTTTTCCAAAGGACTCCATAGAAAGGTTTTGTCGGATATTTCAAGCGCATGTCAGGTGGCTAGCCGGCTGTGCATCTTCCGGAGATGGCAGTTTTAGCCCAGTTCACTTTGCCCTATGCTCAAGGTGAAACGCGGCCTAACTCAAAAGCCTGAGGTGACTTAGGGTATCAAAGAGAAAATTCACAGTCAGGAAGGAGTGATTGTTCTGTTTTGTTCCCATTGGGTGGAATGGGATGTGGTTCTCTGCTATCCTAACTTCTCTGACGTTCTCATGCAATGCTTCTTAACCAGCATTGTTAAAACTAGGAAACGGGGTAGGAGCTGACAGCAAATTGCTGAAAATAACGAAGATCTAGCGGTATTGGAGTCTACAATTTCCCAGAAGACAGGAGTCTAAATAGTCCCTAGTCGTGTGTGGGGTGAGTGAGTAGGTGAGAGAGAGAGTGTGTGAGGAAGAGGGGTCGTGGATTTACCACCCTCGGCCACCTTCATTGAGGTAGAACAATGGCTCGGCCTGGGTTCTTTGGAAAGAGAAACTGCAGGAATGCAGAGTTGCTCTTTGTGCCCCAACCTGCTCAGAGGAGCCGGAGCTAAGGAGCTAAACCCTCACCCCTCAGCACTGGGCGATGTCTACCATTTGAGGATCCCTCTGAGACTCAGCAAGCAAGATCGCGATTGCCCCGATGTCCCAAAAGGCCCACTCTGTGGCAGGAAGAAACCTGATCAAAATCCAGCAACCTCAGACTTCACTAGAGGCAGAGCAGGGAAGAGCTGGACACCTCCCCTGCCCCCAGCAAGGCCAGTTGGGTCTCCCCATCACCACCACCCTAGCGTTTGATAACAATAAATTCTGATTCTATTTCACATTAAGAATGTATTTATTTATTTAATACTTCAGATCTTCCCAAACAGCTTAATTTCCTTCCAAGGTGAAGGGTTAATTTTAAAAAGGAACTAAAAGAAAAAAATTTAAAAAGAAAAAAAAGAAAGGCTCTAATTTAGAGCAATGAGGGATGTTATCTGTGTGACCTTGACATATGAATGGGGGAGGGGCATGTAGGTTTGGGTCCCGACCCTTGTCCTCTAAGTATCTGGGACATTCTAGGCCCTGGCTAAGAACACCAAGATGAGGAGGGATTTATTTTCAAAGGTTACCATTAGCGGCTCACTCGCTGAAGTTGGGAATTTGGTATTTTTATATTTCGTGAAATTCATGATTTAATTATACTCCTAAAACAAATTAAGGGCAGGCCTTCTACACAAATTGGAGGCAGCTAAATGCTCTTTTGTGCCTGCAGCCCTCGGATTGTTAAAGAGGCTGCTGATGCATGAGAAGAAGTGACTGATTTAACTCATTGGGATGCAGGAAGCGACCTGCCCTCTTTTGAAAAAAAAGTGAGAGAGAGAGAGAGAGAGAGAGAGAGAGAGAGAGAGAGAGAGAGAGAGAGAGAGAGAGAGAGCACTAGCTAGCTATAGAAGAGCAGGAGGGTGAGTGACAGAGAAGGGAAGAAGAGAGAGGAGAGGAGAGGAGAGGAGAGGAGAGGAGAGGAGAGGAGAGGAGAGGAGAGAGGAGACGAGTGGAACACGCAGAGGGAGGGAGACCAAACCCCCTCTTTGCTGCGTTGAAAGCTTCTGAATTTCAAGCAGAAAGTAGAAGGAGCCCCACACAGCAATATTCGTCTTTTCTTGGGCTGCGTGTGCAGAGCGTAGACAATGAAAATCTCCATCCCCTCCCCCATGCTCTAGCCTACAAGATTTTTGTTTCTTTCCTTCTCAACGATGGAAGCCATGTAAAATCAAATATACAGAGATGTGCATTCATTTTTTAAAGCACAGACTAGCAAACCAAACGAGCTGACCGCGGATTACCCAAATGCGCACCTGCTGTAAGTACTGTCTTTTCCTGGGTTTTTGAGCTCTGCGTCGCGCTGTGAACTGAGAGTGTTCCCTTTGTGAGCAGCCTTGCTGCCTGTGTCTGGATGTTTTTATTAACAGGGACTCCCCGGATTGTTTTTTCTGCACCTGAGCAGCAGCATTTCGCTTAGGGTTTGGATTGTAAGCAGTGACTTGGAGCCCCGGGCTGGGGGCAGGGGAGGCGCACAGATCAGGGCTTCCCGCGCACTGAACATCTTTAAGAGCTGCTGCCCTCTCAGCATCCTGGCTGCAAGGTTGGTTCCTGGCGCTCCAAAGAAATGGGTCAGGGAGATTTCAGAGCTCCGGGGCTATCTCAAGGAGCAATGGAATCAGGAGGGATCTTAGACCGGGGGAGGATGCGCTTCCACCCCTGCAACACACCTAGCATGGAGCCCTCCTCAGCCCACTGCTAGGACCCCTTGTCTGGGGAGACTTAGAGTGACTGCGACCAGCACGCTGCTAGCCCTGAGCCTTTGGTGCGTCTTTTATCTAAATCTCAAAGCTAGGATCTTCTATAGACCATGCATGGCTAAAGGAGGGTGCCAGAGTGTGTGTGTGTGTGTGTGTGTGTGTGTGTGTGTGTGTGTGTGTGTGTGTGTGTGTGTGTGTCTGACAGTGCCCAGACAATATAAATTGCCATTCGGGGAAGACATTTTCTAGCCTCTTGAAAATGTGCAAGAATTCTGCGGCCCACGCTTTCTTTGTGTGGCGGTCTGCGCCAAGCTCTTTGTGCTTCGCAAGTAGAAAATGGCGAGTCCTATTGTGTTTAGGCCATTTTCTTCCGGTATAAGGATTTCTCAAGTTTTCAATACTTTGAGGGGTAGAAGCAAGGAGCAACCCTCCCATACCCGAAGAAGCGATAAGGCTAAGGCTAGGTCCCTTGGCCTGGTGGGTCTGGACCTTGCTTTGAAACCAAGAGTCTGTTTTCTTGCTTTTCAGATACTTATATTGGAACAATTTGTGCTGGTCTTTGCCCTCTATAGGGGCATAGGAGTTCTTGGGGTTTTGGATCATAAGCGCCGTGTTATACACACATATGAAAATAACACCCCTGTCCCGATAATTTTGAAGGAGAAAAGGGCAGAAGGGGGGGGGAGAAACCCAACTATTTGGATGCAGGGTGGTGGGGTGATGGTGGTGGTGGTGGTGGTGGTGAGTATGGTTTTATTTTTCCTTTCTCTTTTCATACCGTGGAGGAACCCCAGGACAAAGTTATTGTTACTCTACTCTTGTCAGTCTTCAGATTGTTTGAAAACGTAAGACAGAATGCTATTTGCTATTGGGACAGAGAAACTACTTAGCCACTACATCACCGTGCCTTCCTTACTACCTTAGAAAGTATGGGTTTACAGGAGGGATTCTTTTTAATTGGTTCATCGCAGATGTGCGATGTCTATCTACACTGTCCACCGCTGTATGAACATAAAATAAAGACAGTGAGATGTCCCAGAGGAGTATTCTCTCTCTCTCTCTCTCTCTCTCTCTCTCTCTCTCTCTCTCTCTCTCCCCCTTTGTGTATTATTTTTATAAAAATTTCTTGCTCTAGTTTAAACCATATTCAAAAGCAGACAAAGTTGACTCTAAAAAACTAAAGAATGTCCGTGTTATTTTTCTTAACCAAAGAGGGAGAGGGGGAAAGAGGAGGGCAGATTGACAAATTTTATATCCTACTTATTACAGATCTTTGGGTCCATACATAGAGCAATCATTTGTCAGTTCAGGAAAAATGAAATGTACCCCCCCCCCCCCACACACACACACAATGCACTTTTTCTGGTACTCTTTTTGGTGACAGATACAGGGGGAAAAATATTAAATGACTGGACTGAAGAGGAGGATGTAAGGCCTGTATACCCCTTTCCTCCTTTTACACAATCTCCAACCGTTAGGAAGTCAAATGACTGCAGAAACACCTCGACTTTACATTTCCCCAAAGCACCCTGAGCTTGTTCTTTTACGTGAATCAAAACCATGGACAGCGAACTAATTATTTAGCAAACAGAATCCAGCAAAATTGTTTGAGTGTGGAAGGGGAGTTTACCTTCGTAGTATCTGTTGGAGGGAAAACAATTCTTACTATATTGTATAACAATTTGGATTCAATTTTGAATTTAAACTAAAATTAGATTTTAAATTTAAGTCGCAATGTAAACACATTCTACCAAATTTTAAAGAAATGATAATTTATATGTCCATTTTTTTGCCCTTTCTCACAGGTAAAACTTCTCTACTCAACTAAAGGTCATTTCTATCTTCTGCTACTCGTAAATAACAATTTTAAATGCACAAATTTTGTTATGCGCGGTTCCTTATATGATTCAAAGCGAGTAGAGGAGAAAATTTACTATTTTGTCTGGGATTAGCTGGACAACATTGTAGCAAATGAATAGATTTTTATCAGTGACTGGGGCTCTAAATGCACAGAGTTGGAAAAATTAAATGCCACTTTGATCGACAGGAATAGTATGAATGGAGATATGACGCTGCTACCCCATTTCCTCCTGGATAGGCACGGTAGCACATCACTAACAGTACAATAGTTAGACAAACATTTATTTTTTCTCAAGAAAGTAACAGACTTTCTTCTACATACTGATCCAGTTTAGAGCACAGGATTGGCTCTCTTTGGCTCTGTGTCAAATATCCATGTTGTTTTGTCCATGGGTTTCATTACCTTAACCTTTTCAAAAATGAGCTCCATCAAAATTATTTTGCTTTGTATTATATAATGCACTGAAAACTGCTCATTTAAATTTCCACCTTCAACCCTGCGACATCTGACTTATTTTATAAGAGGTCTTCTTTGTGTCCAGTAAAGGCCTAGACGTTCATACAAATGACAAATAATACACAAATTAGAAAAAACAATTTATATTTAAATTTAAAATTAAATTAATTGCAAGAAAATGAATTATTGATCTTTAGTCATCACACTTGAGCAAAGAATGAAAGTGCAATTCTTTGAAATGTCCTCATTTCTTAGAGTAGATGATAGAGATATTTTAGACACCCGTATTTAAAAACAAACAAACAAAGCAACATCTTCAAAGCATTTGAGGAGAATACTCAATGTCATTTGATGGTATCTTGATTCTTTCCATGATGGGATTTTGTGGTTCTTGTAATGGTGGCCGAGGGCTCCCTGAAAGCAGAGAGAGTTTGGAAGGGAGTCATTGTTTAGGAAGGCACTCCATCGGGGCTGCATTCATAAGATTAAGGATAATTTTAGACCTTGGCCTGGGGAAAGGACAATCGTGGGATTGAGAAGGTGCAGATAAGCCTTGGCCATAGAATTAAGAGGTGGTCCCTCATCTGAAGCATGGCTGTGTGCAGCCGGAGGGAGGTGCTTATTGTTCATGCCCAAGCCCTGGGGTGCCAGATCCTAGGTGAGGAAGGAGAGAGTAGTTCACTGTCTACATTTTAGTGAAAGGAAACTAAGTGTGTTGACTTGGATTTGCCTTGAGCCAGCCTGGACCTTGACAGAGGTCTGGGGAGTGCTATGGGGAGGAGGAGGGAGGGAGAGACTGAGCAGCTACATTTTAGGGAGTTGTCTTGGGGCCAGTGTGTTGGAGCCCAGGAGAGTGTAGGCAAGGGCAAGGCGGTTGCCCTTTGCATTGGCCAGGCGCGGCTCCTGGGGGCTGCGTGCCTTCTGCGGCTCTTTGGTTTCAAGGACACTGCGAGCTGTTCAGGACTTTGGGAGCCAACATCTGTCTGACTGGTGACGTCAGCAGCCCGTGTAATCCTCTTGTGCTGAAGGCAGATGCCTTATTTGTTTGGCTGGAGCGAGCCATTAATCCCTAATTCTGGATCAGCAAGCGAGGGGGAAAGACCGGACCGCTACGATCCACCCCCTCCCTGCCCCCACCGCCCACCCTAAAGCACCTTATACCGTGGAAGCCGATCAGCCTCCTCTTTCCTCCTAGAACACGTCGAGCAGCGCCTGAAAACGCTTTGGTCCTCTGAAGGTTTGAGCAGAGCTAGCAGCTCTTTCTCCTTCGGATTTCTAGGGCTATGTGTATATGCAATTCTTTATTTCATCGATCGTTTCGATTTTCTTGTGGGGACTCTTCAGTCTTGCAGTTTGCAGGATCTTAAACCAAGAAGGGGTGGAGATTGGAGAATGCGGTTCTGGCGTGTGGTCTGAGGGAGGGGTTAGACCGGTAAGGGCGCGCGGGATGCGCGAATCGCTGGGACTGCACAGAGGATAATCTGAGGACTCGCTTTCAGGACTCCATCTCCGGAAACCACTTCTTTGGTCCTGACTGCATCCTCTCAGCTTCCGAAGCCGGGGCTGAGTTCGCAGCTCCCTTGTCGCCCGGCCCATTGAGGAGAGCCCCCCAGCTCAACTCACTAGGTCCGGTCAGCAGGGTCACCTCGGCTCCCTTGAGTTCTTCCTCCCGCCTCCGGTCCCTCCTCTCCAGCTTTCCCCTCCTCCCTCCACCACCTGCTCTAATTCTGCGCTTTGATTCTCTTTTTCAGGGGAGCGTTCTGGGGTCTCCGCACAAAACCTGATTTTGAGCTCTTCGGCTTCCTCCGAGAGAGCTGGAGCCCGTCCTTCCCCGTGGCCCACCCAGCCGCAAGAGATGCTGTGAAAAGAGCCGCTGCCCACCGCCTCGGGCCCTGCTGTCCAGAGGGCTCCGCCCATAGAGGTCAACTCCCCTCACTCTTCCTCTTTCCAGTTCGCCCTCCCTCCGCCGAGCCCCTGACTCGGGTCTCCTCCCGACTTTTGCCGCAGAGAGTGCATATCTGCTGCGCTGCCCTTAACCTGCGCCGGGAGCAGACTCAGACCAGATCTCTGTTCTCCAGAGCCGGAGGAAGCCCGAGCAAGCAGCCTTTTCTCCCTGCAGTAAAACCATAGCCAGACCAGATGCGCCCCAGCTCTCCCGGGACTCGGCAGGTGCTGTTGAGTTAATTTTTCCGCCATACAAAGAAGGATGACCCAGCCCGCCCTGGGATTCTGATCTTTTCCCCAAATTTCCCAACCCAAATTGGGGTATCAGAGGCATATCCGTGTGTTTGTCGGACATACAAACATGCATGTTTATGTTCGCTTTTATCTGCTAGATTTCTTCTCGATGGCAGGAGATGACTGACAAAGGTTTCTTCAGCAGAATACGCATGGCGTGGTCCTTAAAGACTTTCCTTTCCTTGCAGATGTCTTAGGAAGGGATTCAGGGCAAACCAACTCAGTTAATTGCCTTCAGTAAAATAACACGATTACGAAATTAGATCTGTACCAGAGGGGTAATTAACTTCGATCCGTGCCATCATTTGAAAACCAGATTTATAGACGTATGTATGGATTTTAGGTGCGCTGTAAATGGCATGCAGATGTATGCATAAGTATACGCAGGCTCTTTCCCCATCTACTCTTCCACCACGCAGACTAATTAACGGCAACTCTAGCAGATGTGGCAGGAGGAGAGCTGAGATGGAGCACTGCGCTGAGTTATGACCCTGGGGGTAGGGACTCCAAGCCTGAACTCCAGGGGAGGCTGAAGGGCAGAGAGGAAAGTGTGATAGTTGCAGTGAGTCAGTTGCTTCTGGATCAAGATCAGAGACTCTGCCCTCCGTGTTCACAGCGGACCTTGATTTAATGTCATACAATTAAGGCACGCGGTGAATGCCAAGAGCGGAGCCTACGACTGCACTTGAAGGACATCAGAGAGACTCAGGGTCGGAAAGGGTGGGGGAGAGACAATTGCAGGCGTCAGGAAGGGAGCTAGAATGAACCCATCCTGTGCGGCATAAGGACTCCTCGCATTGATTCAGAATCTTTAGAATGCGAGAGTCATATGTTTTTCAGCGAGTGTCCGGGAACCCCGCATGCATATCCCCAAGGGGAATATTAGAGCTTTCATTGACAGCTGTCAGGAGAGCAGTAGCTCCCATTGGTGCAAATGGTCTAGAGAGTCTGCATTTGGAAAGCGCTGGCCTTTTCAAAGCAGAATGAGGTTGTTCTCAATCCTGGGCTGAATTGGGAAAACAAAATAGGAGAGGGAGTATAGCATTAAATAGCGCCCAGACCACATTGCACAAGAAACCTCAAATGACTCAGTCATCTGTGGAAATAGGAACATCCGGTCCCCCAGAGCCCTTGACTTCTCCCATTCTCTACCCAGTCTCATGGCGGCCTTGTCTAGCTTTAAAAGACCAAGGCAAAGTCGCAATACCCAAATCAGTCAACGTTGTCGAATAACGGGAAAGACCAAGCCAGAAACTCTGAGACTTGTAAATTAATCTATTTGAAAGACCATGAGGTAGACTTAGTTAAGGTAGGTCCACTCCACAACCTTGGAGCCTAAGAAAACCAAGGCTGAGAAGGAGCCTTGAGGCAAGTCTTTGTTCTGATGTGGCCTGCCTGGCCTGGGAACAAAGGCGAGGCTGGGCAAGGAAGAACCAAAGTGGCCGCGCCCTCCGCGCCTTGCGCTGTCCGTGGTGCTGACCGGACCCTCTTCCTCCTCCTTCTCTTCTTCCTCCTCCATCCATAAGCCCGCAAGTAAGGCAATAAAATCGCTTCTTCCCTACTATAAAACATCCAGGATATTAAGTAATTTACAAATAAAAATTTGAAATGGAAAGACTGTAAACAGCTAAACAGTATTTTACTGAAACTGTCTACTCTATTATAAAAATCAGTTGGTTTGGGTTGAAACCAGAATCCGAGTAGTGGACAAAACCTGAAAGAAAGACATGGAATAGAAGAAAATTTTGTTTTGTTTTGTTTTTCTTAAACCACAACCCTGAAAACAGAGACACAAGGTTCGAAGATGTGGTCACCAAAGGTACCTCTCAAAGGACCCCAGAGTGTGCCTCAAGATGTATTAAAAAGGATAACACTGGAGTGATTAGGTGACCAGGGCAGGCAGGAGTAAAGCAGCCTGAAAACACTGTCTAGGCTCTCAGCAGGGATCTGAATAGGGCAGTCTTCCTAAGTGAGTTCCAAGGCCAAGACCCACAGAAGGATGGGCTCTCTGGTGCTCAGGAGCTGATACTGAGCACCACCTCTCAAGGAGGCACTGCAGGTCCAGCGGCTTGAATCCCGCATTGCGGGGAAAATCAGACTGCAGAACTCTCCTCCTCATAGCTACTCTGGACCAGACCTCCAGAGGCAGGACACATTACCAAATTCCATATAATTAAGGTTTGCCTTAGGACTTGTGGGTCAGATGTGTCTAAATTAATGTATCCAATGTATATTTAAAATGCTCAGCCTATTTCAACATTTTAACTTAAACATCGAGAATATGTATATAAGCAATAAAATATTAAGTTCTATACTTAATCATATTTGCAATGGAAAGAGAAATAGGCAATAAATTGATTTGCATCCAGCCTAGGCCCAAGAAAGAAAATGTTCCATGTTTGAGTATCTTTATAGATTCACATCATAAATGCTGTCAAACATCGGTCATAGATAAACTGAACCAGGTTGTACAAGAGAGACAGTGGCAGCAATTTTTATGCAAGCATAGAAATGGGCTATATATGGACAATTGCCTAAAAGATATGGTTTTATAACATTTATTCTCTTAAACCCGAATGATGGAAATGTATCCACTGACTTAGGAAATAAAAGAGGTCAGAAACAATATCCTTGGTGGTCTAATTCCTCCTCACTCCGTCCTGAAAGGTGGATTTTATTTGTCTTCTGATTTTAAAACTCTGTCAATTACCACTTTCATATGCACAAATTTCAGTTTTGTATTTGATTTCACACAATACAGGGGGATGGAATTTGCAAACGGTGTTGGGAAAAGAGCTATCTCAAACACAAAGAGGATGGCTTTAAGATGTTCTTCTTGTGTCAATGAAAAACAGTCACCAGAAATGGAAATGGGTCTGAAGCATTGCAGGCTGTCACAGAGGTTCCTATATCCTTCCAGTATTCATCCAGCTGTATCAATGGACTATATCAATAGTCCCTTGAGTATTTCACAAAGTAAAAAGGGTCTAAGGCTTCAAAACAGTCCTGTTTGCATTGTTGCAATTCATATTACATAATAAGAACACACTAGTACTTCCCAACCTAATCCTATTTGTTTACAATCGTACTAAACGCTGGTTTCAGAAAGTTTAATCAGTTAAAAAATATATTTTCCTAAATAGAAACGAAATGTGTCATATTAGAGAATTACAAAAGCATGGGAACAAATTCATGATTAAGTCATCTGGTTACCAAGATTAAATCCAGCGTGGTTTCTGATTCATAGTGTTTCTATACTTTTAAAACTATTTATTTTCAATTTCTTTTAAAAAAAAAATCATCCAGCCTAATGTCCGTTACAACATTTTTCCTGCTATGAAATTCTGTGCTCAGCAGTTTTCCAGCAAAACAACCCAGGTGGACAATTAGAGAGCTTTAGTACAGAGGACCATGGGAGTCCTTCAGCAATCACAACTTTCATCTAGTGGTCTGAAATTAGAGCTTCTCGGAATAATTTAGGAACAGCTTGACCCATTGAGATGCTTAGGGACAACCCCCTTGGGAAATAGCTTCTTTCCTTCCAGGGAACAAGATGCTAGCGCAGGGAACAGAGAGTTATCTGATGTCAACAATGCCAGAGCGCCCTCTGCTGGTCCCCAAGAAACAGCGCACTGGTTACAGAAGCCAGATGGTAGGAGTTTCAGTAAGCCCTGGAAACATTAAGCTCTTAGGATCATTTAATCTGTGGAATTTAAAGGCTCCCATCATATTCTCCGCCTGAAAGGCCACCCGATTTTTATTCTGAGAGCTCCTGGGATGGTTATCTTATAGAGGTAGCGAGGAGTCATTGTTTGAAGTTGACTGAGATTCTGTTGGTTGTTTTCTATGTCCTTTCTTTTTGCAGTTTTTTAGCAAAATATGAAATTGTAAATCTCAGGAAAAAAGTCATTCTCATAGGCAGCTGAATATCAAATAATTTTCATTTATTTTACCCATAACTAAAATTTAACAAAAGGAAATATTTTAATTAGAATAAAGATACCAGGAACAGGGTGTTTACTTTATTTTAAAGGGTGTTAAAACAAAAATACAGCCTTACGTAAAGAATGATTGTGTTGATTTGTGTTAATTTTACTCTACTTTTCAAAGACTACACTTTTGAATAAGAAAGTGAGTTATATTTGAGGAAGAAGCTGAAAGTTTTGAGTCATATTAATTAATATATCCAAAAATTCACCTCTGAAATCTTCCTACTGAGTTAATATCAGTACTCAGGTGGCAAAGGTCCCAGAAAGTAGACTACTGTGAGTAAAATCATCAGGAATGCAGAAATGGAAGCAGCATGTGTAAAACTCTAAGTGTTATTTGTATTTTTCTGTATGGAACAATATGTTATAAGATGAAATGGAGACTTCTTAAAAATTTAAAACCCATTTTTGATTTCACATCTTATGGGGCTTATGTTGAGCAAAATAAAGTATAACTGTATTATTTCCCCACTGTGAATTAGAAATTCCAGCCTATTATGCGACAGACACATCCTCGCTGCGAGAACTGCTACTCGCTACATTGTGCTGGTATAATAAAATGCTTCTAATTATGTGATTGTTAAATACATCTTCTAAAATAAAGTTCAGTTTATTTTATGATGTCAGAATGAAATAACTGTTTAATATCTTTTATTTTAATACTAGATTTTAAATGAAAGCTCATAAGAATATCAAGTTAAAATTAAAAAAAACTATTTGATGTTACAATTTGTTTTAGGGGGAACAACTCTTGATTAAATGTTAAACCATCTTAAATATTTAAACAAGTATGTCAAATTCTATATAGCATAAGTACGTCTGTTTTCTGAAAGCTCGTTCTCTGAGGCAAGAATTACCAATTCATAGAAGAGTAAATCAAGAAAAAAAAGAGTTATAGTTTCTATAATTTAATTCTAAGCATTCCATTGGAAATGTGAAATATTTTATTTTACATAATTTAATTTTTTTCTAAATAGATTCATATTTTACCCAGGAAACAATAAACATCATAACTTTTCTATATTCTTAATAGTTATTAGATTTAAAAGCAACTTCTAACAAAAGAAAATGTGTAATACACATAAAAATATTTTTTCTCTTTTAAAAATAATTTACTAGAAAGAAGGAAATAAAGAAAGAAAATAGAAACAACTAAAATTGCTTCTAAGTAATTTGTGTAATAGATTTTCCTCAAATCGATAGCACACACCAGTATTCACCATTCAAATGTGTATGGATGGGTTTTTTAATTTCTCTTTTATATTTGTATATCCAATATGTTTGGATTGTGTCCAAAACATCTTTACTTTCCTTTGGAGATTTGGAACCCATGGAAACAAGCACTTCCACAGAAACAGTATTCTTCCAAATAGTGTATTTGTGGGAAGCATAAATATGACACAAACAACAAACTACTAATGCCTCTATTTATTGATTTAATTGCAATAGTTATGCGATCTTATAGCTGAAATTAACATAGACTTTCATACTTGTGGGACACATACACATCCCTGTCTGTGGGCTTCAGACAAGAAAGTAAATTTAATAAGTACCTATTGTATCTTTTAACCAGTATCCAACTCTGCTGTTGCTGCTATTTCTATCAGTTGCTGTTAAGTAACAATTCTGATGCAGGATAGGAACCAAAATATAATGCTTAGAGAAAAAATAATGTGGGGACATAAAGCTGAAATTTATTAATGTAAAATATCAAGTCCATGATTCTAAGTAAACTGCAGAGAAAATAAATATTCACATTGAAGAATAATATTAGAAGTTGAAAAGCCCACACATGGCAAGTACACAGTAGTACAAAGGCCAAACAAGGTACAATGAGAATCAGTACAGCTGCTTTAAAACATCAGTAGAAGACACTATGTGGATGCAAGAAAACCTCAGGATGACTAGATTGCACACAAAGTGTGTTTATTTATTGAACATACTGTAATTTTTATCTTCTTTAGAGGAAGTTGGGGAATATATTTGGGGAATCAAGTTAGCAAATTATTTATTAATTATTCAACTCCTATGAATTTGAAAGGCAAATTTATGTCTTTATTTCCTGGTTATTAGACAACCCCAATTTAGTTCTAAAGAGATTACTCTAAATGTAACTCTGTACATAGCATGAATTTTAGAATTGGTTGAATGATAGCATGTTGAATAAAATATTTTCTTTCCACCAACGACGTTGCTTTTTAAAATCAGAGACAAATTAAAAATGAAATTTAGTTTGGTAAATTGTTCCTTACAGCTTTCCGTGTTCTGAGTCACATTGTATTTAGAAATACAATTCATTTAAAGTCAATCCCAATGCTTGCTTCCTGGAAGCTCAGGATGCTGTGTTAGTGTGAGGAATGATAGAGTGATAGGCATGAAGACTCTACCTCAAGGTCAATTAAAAGGAAGTTTATGCTGCCAGGAAAGCGTAAAGTGGAGAAAGGCATCCTCTTAGAGAAGCTACACAGTGTCTTCTTTTGTTGAGTCAGAACTTCATGCCTGGACATCCTGGGTCTGTCGTGATTCTCACTTGTTCTCAGAGCCAAGTTACATCTGATGTGTTAATGACCCTGATAGTATCAGGTAGGGGCGAAGTGCAGAAACTCCAAGAACACATTCTTCAAACATATGACTCTTACAAGGTAACATATTTAGATGATATGAATTTCTATTCTGCAAAAGGGTTATTGGTTTGTTTATCTATTCATTGATTCTAAAGATTGAATGTAGGACCTTTTTGTACATGCCAAGCAAGTGTTCTGCCACTGAACTATATATCACCAGACCCACAAAAAGGTTATTTTTTACTAGATTTTCCATTCAGGAAACACAAGTATTTATAAATGTCTGCTAAGTCTCAGGAAATTGCTCAGGGTGGATAAGGGAAGAAAGATGGTGGTGTGTACATATAGAACTATCTATGCTGTGGATGAAGGTTAACATTTAAACCATGGTTGTACAAAAAGAAAGAATTCATCTCTAAATGCACTTTGAATCTATCCCTTCTGCAGTTATCTTATCAGATAGCCTATGTGATAAAATTGAATGAGACAAGAGGATTGTTAATAAAGAATCATTAAAAATGTCTAGTAAAATGATAGGCTATTCATCTACTCCAGCTGTTGTTATTGCAATACCTTTGTGCAGTAATTTTCTAAATTTTCTAAATCTACAAATGCCCTTTCTCACATGAATGAAATTGTTCTACACTAGCCTGCTTCTGCATCCTGTCTCAGCTGCTAACCATACCTAGTAAAGTAAGTGATTATAACAATAGCATTGAAAGTATCTATCAGTCCTAGACATAAAGACCAATTGTAAACCACAGAACTTGAACCTAGTTTTATTTTAATGTCTCTATCTTAACACATATCTAAGGTTTCTAAAAATAAAACACAGGTCTGTTCATTCCTTCATGGGATGTTTACTTGCTTGTGGCAGGTCCCACTCCAGATGTGGAACCTTCTGTAATAAACAGAACTGATATGATTTCTCTTGTGGTGGAGCTGACAGACTTTCTTAACATTCTGTCTTCCACTCCCCTGAACAAGCTGATGTTTCTCTGATTTAAATCCTTTTCTTTAAGTGCACCAGATTAGCCATTGGAAGGAATATTTTCATAGAAAGGAAAGATCATGC